TTTCCCTAAAACCCTACACCAGTTTATCAGGAGGTCCTGTTGATTCTGTTCCCCAAACCAAAGATCTATCTACTTTTTATGTCTACTACCATATCTCTAAACTAAGCCAACAGCATTTCTGGACTATTGCAGCTGTAATAGCCTCCAGATTGGTATCCTTGGTTCCATATTTGCCTTCGAGCCCAGTCTCCAGAGAGTAGCCACAGTGATCTTTTTTTTTTTTTTTTTTTTTTTATGCGGGCCTCTCACTGTTGTGGCCTCTCCCATTGCAGAGCACAGGCTCCGGATGCTCAGGCTCAGCGGCCATGGCTCATGGGTCCAGCCGCTTTGCGGCATGTGGGATCTTCCCGGACCAGGGCACGAACCCCTGTCCCCTGCATCGGCAGGTGGACTCTCAACCACTGCGCCACCAGGGAAGCCCAACAGTGATCTTTTTAAAATGCAGTTTGGGCTGAGAGGCCCGCAGGAGCGGCGGAGATGCCACCTGATGGCATTGAAACGAATGGGAATTGTAAGCTACTATGAGAAAATCCGTACCTTTGCTGTAGCAATAGTAGGTGTTGGTGGAGTTGGCAGTGTGACTGCTGAAATGCTGACAAGATGTGGCATTGGTAAGTTGCTACTCTTTGACTATGAGAAGGTGGAACTGGCCAATATGAATAGACTTTTCTTCCAACCTCATCAAGCAGGATTAAGTAAAGTTCAAGCAGCAGAACATACTTTGAGGAACATTAATCCTGATGTTCTTTTTGAAGTACACAACTACAATATAACCACAGTAGAAAACTTTGAACGTTTCATGAGTGGAATAAGCAATGGTGGATTAGAAGAAGGAAAACCTGTTGACCTAGTTCTTAGCTGTGTGGACAGTTTTGAAGCTCGATCATTTGAAATGCTATGGTTCTGTCCTTTCATAAGAGGGTTTTTCAACAGACCTGGCAAACTCAGTAAGGAGGATCATTACTCTCATGCACAGAATGACTCTTCTCTTTCTCACCTGCTCCTCTGTCACCTCTCTTTCAGAAAGCATGCTCTGAATTGTCATCAGATGAAGCCTGCTCTCTTCAGTGTGCTCTGTGAGATCAAGGAAAAGGCAGGTAGGCCACTGAGAAGACACTTCTTGTGTGGCACTAGAACCACAACACCCTCGCACCTCTGGTCCTGGCTCAGGCCTAACGTGCGTCGTGGGCCATCTTGCTCGTCACATCCCTCTCTGGCACGATGGTTCAGTTGGTACATTTCTGCTTTGTCAGAGCCCTGCTTTCTGGTGTATCACACCCATTTATTTTGCAGTTTGTAACTAGAGAAATACTGTTGCCAGTGAGTAATAAGCAGCTGCATTCTAGGTGCAAGACCTCAGAGGCATTGTGGCATTCAGTTGTTTTACAAAAGGATCTGAGATGACAGAATTAGGAAAGTAGAATCATAATTTTGTTTTGTTTGTTTTAAGCATCCAAAGTAATCCCCATGGAAGCTTCTGCCACTGCAAATTCTTTTGTTAAAAAAAAAAAAAAAGGAAAATCTTTTCATTTTGAATTAATTTAGACTTGCAGAAAAGTTGAAAAACTAGTACAGAGAGGACTTCCCTGGTGGTGCAGTGGATAAGAATCCGCCTGCCAATGCAGGGGACACGGGTTCGATCCTTGGTCTGGGAAGATCCCACATGCCGCAGAGCAACTAAGCCCGTGCACCACAACTACTGAGCTTGCTCTCTAAAGCCCACGAGCCACAACTACTGAAGCCCTCGCACCTAGAGCCCGTGCTCCACAACAAGAGAAGCCACTGCAATGAGAAGCCCGTGCACCGTAATGAAGAGTAGCCCCCACTCGCCACAACTAGAGAAAGCCTGTGTGCAGCAACAAAGACCCAATGCGGCCAAAAATTATTCAATTAATTCATTAATTTTTTAAAAAGAAGGAAAATTAGTACAGAGAGTATACCCTCTTCTAATGGCAACACCTTCAGAACCATAGTGCAGTGATTAAACCAGGAAATTGATGTTGGTACAATGCTCTGTAACTGAGCAACAGGTCCTATTTGAATTTCCCCAGGTTGTGTCCTAAATGCCCTTTTTCTGGTCCAGGATCCCACACTGCATTTAGTCATCGTGTCTCCTTAGTCACCACCAATCTATGAAGTTTCCTCCATTGTTCCTCATCATCCGTGGCTTTCATACTTTTGCTGAGACCTGCTCAGTTATTTTATAGAGTCCCTCAGTGTGGTTCGTCCGTTGTTTCTTCATAATTAGACTGAGGTTGTGCATCTGTGGCAGGAATCGCACAGAAGCAACGTTGTGTCCTTCTCAGTGCATCGTGTCGGAGGTATGTGCTGTCAGTAAGTCCTATCACTGATAGGACTGCTGACCTTGATCACTTGGTCAAGGTTAATAGCAATTTGAAGATGGTTTACAAGAGAAGCCACAAATATGGTGAAGACGTCATTTAAACCAAAATCATCAGAGAAAGGTTGTCACTTGATTTCTTAGAGTGAGTTGGTGTCTCTCTTTTTGTTTTTGGCTGCATTGGGTCTTTGTTGCTGTGGCGGGCTTTCTGTAGTTGCAGCGAGCCGGGGCTACTCTTCATTGCGGTGTGCGGGCTTCTCATTGCGGTGGCTTCTCTTGTTGCGGAGCACGGGCTCTAGGCGCGAGGCCTTCAGTAGTTGTGGCACGTGGGCTCAGTAGTTGTGGCTCACGGGCTCTAGAGTGCAGGCTCAGTAGTTGTGGCTCACGGGCTTACTTGCCCTGCGGCATGTGGGATCTTCCCAGACCAGGGCTCAAACCCGTGTTCCCTGCATTGACAGGCGTATTCTTAACCACTGCTCCACCAGGGAAGTCCAGAGTGAGTTGGTCTCTTGAGATCAATTATTTGAATGTTGTGTGTCACTTTGGAGCATAGCACTTGAGTTATGCTGGGGCTTGTGGAAAGCACGTATGTGGTACAAAAGTATGTTTCTTTCTGAACACGGTTTTGGTGCAAGATTGACGTGTACTTGACATGGATGGTGGCAGAGAGCAGTGAAAGGGTCTGAATTCCGCTTTACCTCTGGCTCCATGACCCTGGCATGTGACTGAAACTTTCTCTGTCCCCAGTCCTTCTCTGTGACTTGGGGACAGTGACAACACTTAGCTCACGGTTATTGAAGACTGTGTGAGTTCTTACATATAAGGCTATGGGTGTGGTGCCAGCCTCCAGTAGTTATCTGATGACTGAAAGAGAAATTCAATTTTAAACCTACATTTGTTTCACCCAAATGCTGTAAGGACGTGATATTTCCCCACACACACAGTTGGAACATTTTTTATTGTGATAAAACATACATAACATAAAATTTACCACTTTACCATTTTTAAGTGTACAGTTCAATGGCATTAAGTACATTTACATCATTGTGCAACTGTCACCACCATCCATCTCCAGAACTTTTTCATCTTCCTAAACTGAACACTAACTCCCCATTAAACACTAACTCCCCATTCCCCACTCCCCTGGCCTCTGGTAACCACCATCCTACTTTCTGTCTTTATGAATTTGACTGCTCTAAGTACCTCATATAAGTGGAATTATACAATATTTGTCCATTTGTGACTGGCTTATTTCACTTAATATAATGTTTTCAAGGTTCACCCATGTTGTAGCATGTGTCAGAATTTGCTTCTTTTTTATGGCTGAATAATATTCCATCATATAGATGGACCACATTTTGTTTATCCATTCATTGTGGGACATTTGGTTGTTTCCACCTTTTGGCTATTGTGAATAATGATTTTAATATCTGTGCAAATATCTGTTTGAGACCTTGCTTTCAGTTATTTGGGGTATATACACAGGAGTGGAATTGCTGGATCACATGGTAACTGTATATTTAAGAACTGCCAGACTGTTTTCCACAGCAGCTGCACCATTTTACATTCTCACCAGCAGTGCACAAGGGTTCCAATTTCTCCACATCTTCTTCAACACTTCTTATTTTCTGCATTTGTTTTGTTTTGTTTTTATAATAGCCATCCTAGTGGGTGTGAAGTGGTATCCCATTGTAGTGGACATGATATCCTTTTACACTTGTTTATATTTGAAAGACTCTTTGTTTGATGACAGCAGATTTTGGGAATCATATTATTTCAAAGGAATATCTCATTGTGGATCTTCATGGTGTCACTCCTTAACTCAGGTCGAAGTCAACATTTTATCTGTTATCTTTCCCACCACTTTCCTTTTTCATAAGGGCCAGCATGTGGTATATTTCTGTTCTAATTCTTTTACCCTCTATACACTCTGTAACCCAAAAGCTTATATCCCATTTGGTTTACAAAGCCACTGTAGTTTGAGTGATCTATGTTTGTTCTCATAGGTTTGTTTGTGTGTGTTTAACTTTTTATTTTGAAACAATCACAGATTCACATAAATGTTCCAAGAACACGCAAATACATTTTCTCCCCGAACTATTAGAGAGTAAGTTGCTGCCACGATGCCCCATGACCCCTGCACACTTGAGTGAGTTTCCAACAAACAGGAACAGTCTCCTTTTTACCCACAGGACAACTGTCATGGTCAGGAAGAGAACACTGATACCCCACCCACCAGAATCTACAGATCTCATTCAGGCTCTGCCAGTTGTCCCAATAATGTCCTTTATAGAAAAGGACAAAAAGGTCAAAATCTTGTTGCGTTTAGTTATCACATCTCTTCGGTCTTGTTTCATCTGTGACAAGCCCCTGTCTTTCCTTGACTTTCATGACCTTGACCATCTGGAAGATCACAGGCAAGTCCCTCCATCGGGGTTTATCTTGTGTTTCCTCATGATTAGATTTCTGCTACACATCCTCAAAATGAAGCAATGCCTCTTCTCACGCAGAGGGTGCTCAGTGGTGCCCACATTTGCTCTGTCCCCTATTGATGACTTGAACTTTGATCACTCAAGTGAGATAGTGTCTGACAGACTTCTCCTTTTTAAAGTTGCTCCTTTTCCCTTTGTAATAAGTATTCTGTAGGAGGTACTCTGAGACTATCCCTCATTCAATTTCCCTTTTATTCATTTTCGTATTTTGTGTCAGTATAGATTCATGGAATTCATGGAGTCTTATTTTATCACAGTTACTATTATCACTCATTTTGACACTCAAATTGTCCCAGAGTTGGCTAGTGTGAGACCCTTGAAGCTGGCTCGTGTCCTTCTGACATGTTTCCATCAGCCTTTGAGCATTCCCTTCCTTGCTGCCATGACATGTTCCAGGCTCGTATTCTCCCCTCTCCTGCCGGGCCGGAATCAGCCATTTCTCCAGGAGCCCTGGCTCCACTTAGAGTAGTTCTTGGTCCTGGGTATGCTTGTTACTATCGAGGTGGTACTGCTCTGGTCACTCTCAGGGCACAGAGCTCAGGAGTATTTGCGGGTGATGCATATATATGTGTACACACACTTATTCATGTCTATTTTTACTGTATCTGCATATATTGAAAACCATGAGCTCATTTCAGTATCTTTTTTTTGTTTCTTTGTTTTGGCTGCATCGGGCAGCTTGTGGGATCTTAGTTCCCCGACCAGTGATCGAACCCGGGTGCCGGCAGTGGAAGGGCCGAGTCCTAATCACTGTACTGCCAGGGAATTCCCTCATTTCAGTGTCTTTAATTCTGGTTCAGCACCACAGAGTTCATTCTATTTTTCTCTCTCTCTAGATTGGTAACTCCTTTCTCTGACAAAAACCCTGCTCCCATCATCCTCAGTACTTTTACTTATTTAATCAGTCGTTCCCTCCCCCACTCACGTGCATCCCTTTTCACCACCTCAGCCCCTGACCCGGGTCACCCACCAGCTCCCACTGGCTGCCCTCCTCGCTTCCCTTAGGCTCCAACACCCAGAGCCAGGTCACCCTCTGCGGACGGCCCCTTGCCCTGTAGGTCCCACACTAAGCTCCTGCTCAGGTGCTTCTCACAGGTGTTTGAATGTCTAATGGCCCATCTTGTCTGTTCCTTATTTAAATTATGGGGAGCAGATATTATGACTTCTAGTAAACAAGGTTGGGCTTTTTGGGGGTTTAAACAAGTTTGCCCTTAAACTCTCGCAGCACTCCCTCAGTGCCCTGTGTGAACCAGATAAGCAGCAT